AATTTTTCTTTTTTCTCAGGTTTCGATTTTTCAACTTTTCAATTTTTTTTTAGATTTTTCAGTTTCTCGATTCGTCAGTTTTTCCTTCATTTTTCAGTTTTTAGATATTTAAGTTTTTGAGATTTTTCAATATTTCTGTTCTTCGACTTTTCCATTTTTGACTTCTGGATTTTTCGATTTGTCGACTTTTTACTTTTTTGATTTTCAAATTTTAGATTTCTCAATTTTTTGGCATTTTAATTTTTCAATATTTAAAATTTTAGATTTTTCGATTTCTCGATTTTTCATTTCAATTCTTCGATATTTCAGTTTTTCAAGTTTTCGAATTTTTCAAAAGTTTTGATTTCTTAACCTATCGAGTTTTCGACTCCCTGTTTTAGATTTTCTGTTTTTCAACTACCGTTTTTTCAAATTTTCAAATTTGACATTTATAAACTGCCGATTTTTTGATTTTTTTCAATTAATCGATGTTTTGATTTTCGCATTTCTTGACTTTCGAGCGTTTCGAGATTCCTGTTCTTCAATTCTTTAATTTTTCGATTTTTCAGTTTTTTTAAGGTTTCGATTTTTTGATTTCACTTTTTGGATTTTTCGATTGCTTAATTTTTCGACTTTTTAGGTTCTCAGTTTTTGGATATTTCAGTTTTCAGATTTTTCAGGTTTTCCATTTTTCAGTTTTTCGATATTTTCAGTTTTGGAATTTTTCAATATTTCTATTCTTCGACTTTTCGATTTTTGGCTTCTACAGTTTTCGATATGTCGATTTTTTTTCTTTTTCGATTTTTCAATTTTTCGATTGCTTAATCTTTCGATTTTTCGACGTCCCAATTTTAGATTTTCTGTTTTCAATTGTCGTTTTAAATTTTTCGATTTTTCAATGTTTTGAGTTCCCGATTTAGTTTCCCATTTTTAGTTTTTCTTTCATTTTTCACTTTTTCGATATTTCAGTTTTGGGATTTTTCAATATTTCTATTCTTCGACCTTTCGATTTTTGATTTCTGGATTTTTCGATGTGTCGATTTTTTTACTTTTTCGATTTTTCAATTTTTCGATTTTTAAATTTTAGATTTTTTAATTTTTAAAATTTTAGATTCTTCGATGTCTCAATTTTTCATTTCAGTTTTTCCAGTTTTCGAATTTTTCAAATGTTTCGATTTCTTAATCTTTAGATTTTTCGACTTTCCGGTTTTAGATTTTCTGTTTTTCAATTGTCATTTTGTCAAATTTTTGAAACTCTCAATTTTTCGATTTTTCAATTAATCGATGTTTTGATTTTCCCATTTCTTGACCTTCGAGTCTTTCGATTTTCCTGTTCTTCAATTCTTTAGTTTTTTTGATTTTTCAATTTTTCGAGTTTTTAATGTTTCTATATTTCGACTTAATTTTTTTGATTTTTCGATTTTTCAGTTTAAGGATTTTTCAATATTTCAATTCTTCGGTCTTTCCATTGTTGAATGCTAGATCTTTCGATTTGTCGACTTTTTACTTTTCTGATTTTTAAATTTTAGATTTTATAATTTCTCAATTTTTCAATTTCTCGGTTTTCAGTTTTTCTCTTTTACGATTTTTAAATATTTCGATTTTTCAATTTTTGACTTTTATGAACTCTTTATTTGTCGATTTTTCAATTAATTGATTTTTTGGGTTTTTTGGTTTTTCGATTTTTCTTTTTCCTCAGGTTTCGATTTTTCAACTTTTCAATTTTTTTTTTCAGATTTTTCAGTTTTTCGATTCGTCAGTTTTTCCTTCATTTTTCAGTTTTCAGATATTTCAGATTTGAGATTTTTCAATATTTCTGTTCTTCGACTTTTCCATTTTTGACTTCTGAAGTTTTCGATTTGTCGACTTTTTACTTTTTTGATTTTCAAATTTTAGATTTCTCAATTTTTGGTATTTTAATTTTTCAATGTTTAAAATTTTAGATTTTTCGATTTCTCGAGTTTTCATTTCAGTTCTTCGATATTTCAGTTTTTCAAGATTTCGAATTTTTCAAAAGTTTTGATTTCTTAACCTATCGATTTTTCGACTTCGCTGTTTTAAATTTTCTGTTTTTCAACTACCGTTTTTTCAAATTTTCGATTTTTCAATTTTTCAGATTTGACATTTAGAAACTGCCAATTTTTCGATTTTTCAATGAATCGATGTTTCGATTTTCCCATTTCTTGACTTTCGAGGGTTTCGATATTCCTGTTCTTCAATTTTTGATTTTTCATTTTTCAGTTTTTTTAAGGTTTCGATTTTTTAACTTCACTTTTTGGATTTTTCAATTGCTTAATTCTTCGACTTTTTAGGTTCTCAGTTTTTGAATATTTCAGTTTTCAGATTTTTCAGGTTTTCCATTTTTCAGTTTTTCTTTCATTTTTCTTTCAATGTTTCGATTTTTCATTTCAGTTTTTCGAAATTTAAATTTTCCAAGTTTTTGAATTTCTCAAATGTTTCGATTTCTTAATGTTTTGATTTTTGGACTTCCCGGTTTTAGATTTTCTGTTTTTCAATTTTCATTTTGTCAAATTTTCGATTTTTTAATTTGTCAAATTTGTCTTTTATGAACTCTCAATTTTTCGATTTTTCAATTAATCGATGTTTTGATTTTCCCATTTCTTGACCTTCGAGTGTTTCGATTTTCCTTCTTCAATTCTTTAGTTTTTTGATTTTTCAATTTTTTGATTTTTTAAGGTTTCTATATTTCGACTTCACTTTTTTATTCAGTTTTTAGATATTTCAGTATTTTCTATTTTTGACTTCTGGGTTTTTCGATGTGTCTACCTTTTTACTTTTTCGATTTTTTAATTTTTGTATTTTAAAATTTTAGGTTTTTCAATCTTTTGATATTTTATTTTTTTCGATATTTCTTAATCTTTCGATTTTTCGACTTTCTGGTTTTAGATGTTCTGTTTTTCAATTTTTCGATTTGTTAATTTTTCATTCCCGATTTATCGAGATTTGATTGTTCTGGTTTTCGATTTATCCATTTTTTCAATTTTTTATTTTGGCCTATTTCGATTTTTCAGTTTTTCCAGTTTTCCATTTTTTCGTTTTTTGATTTTTCCGCTTTTCCAATTTTTCAACTTTTAACTTTTTGTTTGTCGATTTCTCTATTTTTCGATTTTTCGACTTCATCACTTTTTGATTTCTCGTTCTTTGAATCTTTCAATCTCTCAATTTTTCAATTTTTCGAATTTTTAAGTTCTTTGCTTTCTCGATTTACCGAGATTTGGATTTTTCGATTTTGACCTATTTCGGTTTCTCAATTGTTCGAATTTTCGACTCCACGATTTCTTGATCTTTTGATTTTTCTATTTCTCAGTTTTTCGATTTTCCAGTTTTTTGATTTTTCGATTTTTCAGTTTCAGGATTTTTCAATATTTCAATTCTTCGGTTTTTCCATTGTTGAGTTCTGGATTTTTCGATGTGTGTACCTTTTTACTTTTTCGATTTTCCAATTTTTGGATTTTTAAATTTTAGATTTTTCGACTTATGTTTAATTTTTCAATATTTCTTAATCTTTCGATTTTTCGACTTCCTGGTTTTCAATTTTTCGATTTGTTAATTTTTCATTCCCGATTTATCGACATTTGATTGTTCAGGTTTTCGATTTTTTTAATTTGGCCTATTTCGGTTTCTCAGTTTTCCATTTTTCGTTTTTTGATTTTTCCGCTTTTCCAATTTTTCAACTTTTAACTTTTTGTTTGTCGATTTTTATATTTTTCGATTTTTCGATTTTTCGACTTCATCACTTTTCGATTTCTCGTTCTTTTAATCTTCCAATCTCCCAATTTTTCAGTTTTTCGAATTTTGAATTTTTTGATTTCTCGATTTATCGAGATTTGGATTTTTCGATATTTTGATTGTCAATTTCTCAATTAATAAATTGTTCAATTTTTAACTTTTCGATTTTTCGATTTTGGCCTACTTCGGTTTCAAAATTGTTCGACTTTTCGACTCCACGATTTCTTGATCTCTTGATTTTTCGATTTAAATTTGGGAGTTTCGATTTCTCGATTTTTCGTTATTCGGTTTTTAAATTTTAGATGTTTGAATTTTACATTTTTTCGATTTCCTGATGTTTCATTTTTAGATTTTCAGTTCTTCGATATTTCATGTTCATTTTTTTTCACTTTATCATACAGTGTATCTAAAAATATTCACTTAGTCGTTGTAAAAACCGACCAAACAACTAAACAAGAAATTATAGTCTAAACCAACCAAATCGCTTCTGAACGCTTAGAGTCGACATTGGCCTGAGCGCGCTCTGGTCTGTAGATCAAACAAGTTCTCAGGCGACGAGTTGTAGTGAAACAAGTTTTAGACTATTTAAATTTGGCGCTTGCCTTTGGCGGTTGAGGACTCCAATGTCAATAATGATGGTTTTGCAAAATCAGCCTGTATGTCGCATCTATATTAATCTATGGTCAAACCACACTGATACATGTCAAAAATAACAAATTCCAAGGATGACTAGATTACAAATTATGTTGATAGCAGTTTTAAAAAGTAATGCATTACAATTACATATTACTTTTTTTACAGGAATTCATTAGTTATATGTATTTCCCTACGCTGGAATATGCTTTAGCTCACATGTGTAATGTTGGTTGCATACTAACATAAATCAATTTCCAAATAAACAGCTAAAATCAGCTGTTTCCTATTGAACAATGATAAAAATAGCTTCCAACAAGGTGGGGCTACAGCGCATACTGAAGATGCAGCAGTAGATTATCCGTAATAATTTTTTAATAACATAATAATAAACAGAGGAACAAAAGGATAATAGAACGTGCCTAACTCATTCATTAGAAATTTACAATTACAAGTATTAAACTGTGTAACTAGTGAAGACAACAAAAAAGTAAGCATAATGATAAAAATAACAAATACTACACTACAATCTATGCAATGATGTGGGAATACAGTGTCTATAGTATATACTAATTGACAAACAAAATGTAAAACATGGATTATTCTTTCCACTAAAATATTTTTTTCAACTGTTACAGATACTTCTACACCCCTCCTACCGACTCGGTCCCCTTAAGCCTCACCCTCACCACGTGCACCTCCCCCGTGTCCTGGTCCTTCGCCCCCAACAACTCCACCGACCCCACTTTCGCCACTAACGCCACCAGCACCCGCCACTTTTCGCCCTCCAAACACACCTTCACGCTCCACCTCCTCGCCCAGAAACACGACACCTTCGTCCACGTTTACGTGAGCACGGAAGTCGGGGGTCCGCAGGCCCTCCAGAAGGCCAAATCCGTGAAAATCCGGCTCCTGAAGAGACAGAAAGGGAAGCGTCTAACTGTGAAGTGGAATCCCAGGTATGTATGGTAGGTCAGGATCAAGGTGATTAATATGGCGAAATGTGGTCGCTTTAGCGATTCTAATTGATTTCGCTCGCTGAATCGGAATTAGTTCGTTATGTCGGGATTTTTTCCGGTTTGGTGAGTCGACGTGGATGGATGTAGTGGGAAAGAGATTTCTTCGGTTTTTTAACTAGATGCTTTTGCAGACGTCACAAAAACAAAAGTTCAAGTTTTTTCCAGTTTAGTGGACCCCCAAGGAACCGATTACTGTCTCATCACTAGTATCCACTTCCCCCACACCACTCTTTGCGCCGCCCAGCTTGCCACCCCCAGCAACACCACCGTGACGTGCACAGGCAGCAAAACCCATCACACGATCACTGGTCTGACGCACGACCAAAAGTACTACTTCAGCATTTGGGCCATCAACCGTCAGTCCAACCTAACGTACTCTTATGGCACCACCTCCACTATTTTTGATGGACGGTTTAGACACACCAGTCTCAAAGACGGGAAGCCGGCCTTTGCCAACTTGAAGCAACTGGATGGAAAAGCAGTCTTCAGGTACAAAGTTAGCGAGAACAACAGCAAAGCGCTAGATCTGTTTGTAATACCTTGTGGGGGGGTGATCGACGTGGAAGTGGTGTTGAAGGACGTCACGATAATACAGCCTAAGAGGGTGGAGAGTTTTGAGAGGTTGACGATTGAGCATCCGGTGGCGGCGGGGAGGTACTACGTCAAGGTGTTTGCGTCGAATAGAGAGGAGCTCAAGAAGAGTTCGGGGGTTGAGGTAGAATATTAGTATTGGTTAAATGTGTGCAGTACGTTCGAGGTTCCAGATTTACGCCACCACGAAGTACCCAGCGATTCCTTTGCCCAGCATGCCCAAGCTCCTCAAAGTCCAAGAGTACGGGAGCTTGACGACTTGCGACAGCGTGACTGTGGGGTGGGCTGTAGCCCCAAACCTCAAAACAGTACAGTATTGTCTGTCAGCCAAAAAAGGGAAAATCAGGGAAAGCGAGGAGTACCGAATGCCAAATCAGTGCGGCTTGGAAAACAGACTGAAGAAATCGACGGACTTTGTGGTGAAGTATTGCACAGATGTCAAACCCAACAATGAGTGAGTTTATTTGCGACATTTAAACAGTCACTATTGACTCTAAATTTTTTGTAGATCTATCCTTCTGCAAAAAATCGGCCAACTGAAGCCCAACCGGCTCTACATCATCCAGGTCACCGTGAAAAAGCCCAAAGGCAAGACTCTCTCTTACGATCTGCTGCAAATCCGCACCAGACCGTCGTGCAAGCGGAAGAATCTGGACTAGGAAGCGTCCATTGTTCGAGTTTTTGTTTTGGCGTTTGTTTGATTCCTGCGAAGAGGCTCTGTTTATTTATTTTATTGATTTTGTACTTAAGTTTTATATTATTATATTTTTTCACAATAAATATTTTTGTAAAAATGTGCCGGAGGTGATTTGGTTATCAGTAGTCGTAAAAAATTTATTAGGTGCATAATGCGAAACATTACCAACACTTGACGCGATTATCTATCTAATAAATAAATTTAGAGTGTCAAACGACTGATAATAGCAGTACTTCTGGGTAAGCACTGGCGACAAACAAAGGATGGAACACGACGCGACATATCTGATAACAGATGGTAATGTGACGGTTCGATGGTTAGATTGGTGGTTGTGACGCACATTTCGGGTTTAGACAGACGAAAAATTTCGAATTTAGGTTTCGAATTTTGAAACGGCTGTAGATGTATTTTGTTTTTGTTTCGTTTAATATGTTTATTTTTATTGTAATATACAGGGTTATGATAAAGTAATTCATAAAATTCATATTTTTTTATAAAGCTTATTTTTCTACATATTGATCCAGATATGCATGGGGCACTATCACATTATTAGGAATAGAAGGATGCAATTTAAGACTCTTTAAATTTAACAAGTTTTTACAGAATTCTATCTAAAGACTCTACTTTTAACGCATGGTCACTCCAGACGAAATATAAACAAGTGTGCTTTCGTAACATGGTATGGGTAATTAAAGTATAATACATTAATGAATTCAGAAAAACAAGGTCCACAAATATCTGAAAAAAAAAATAGAGTTAGGTGTTACTGTTAATGGTATTATCTATCTATTATATTTGTTTTAATGTATAATCCAGCAGTCTTGCATTTCTAATTTTGTGTTTGATAATAATGTACATGTACAAGCCACGTCTATCTCTATTATCACTAATATCTGAACAATGCAAAACCGTCCATAACAAATTACCGTTTCCAATATTTACATGCTGATTAAAAAAGTTACATGAACCTATATTAAAGAACTTCCATCTATCTCTAATTCATCACACGCACTAAAACCCTCAGTTTTGGTCCCAATGCAACGTACATTGAGCAACGTTAGCGACCCGTTCAAACTAGACCCAAACACCAGAAGAACATTCTTGTGGATCTTCATACCTCTGACAACGTTTTCAGTAATTGCTAACAGCGCAACCGTCTACTCAATTAGCAAAAGAAACTACAGAACATTCCAAAAAACATGCATCATATCCTTGGCCTTGTCGGACCTTTTGAGTACCGCAGCCGTCGCCACCCTCAACATGGTATATTTCACTCAAGAAAATATAACTTGGGTAAGTACGTTCACTTCAGTTCTACTCTTGGTAACGATGTTTTAGCCCCTAGCAGGATTCCTTTGCAAGTTTCTCCCCATGTGTCAAATGCTTGGAATCCTAGCGAGTTCTGTAGCCCTGACGATCATCGCTATCGACAGGTACAGGAACGTGGTGTACGCTTTGAGTAAGAGGTGGAACCCTCGAGTCTACATCTGCCTGGTGGTCGTAGTAGCGATTTGGTCAGCTTGTATTGGAATCTCGTATCCGGTGCTGAGTTTCTACGAATGCGTCGAGTGGCCTCAACTAGACGACTTCGTCTGCGTCATGTTCAAGCCGGAGCGCTTCAGAACCTACATCGTCGCGATGACCGTGATCACGTTCCTTCCTCTCTTTTGCGTCTTCCTCTGGTCGTACTACAGCATCGCGTTTATCGTTTGGAAGCACCGCAAACCTATATCGTCGATCTTCAACAAGAAGACCCTCCAAGAACCATCGTCATCCGCCAGCAAATCTTCTCCAGTTATGAAGAACCTCAACAAACCGAAAACCCAAGAAGACATCAGAGTGGGGCGGAAAATTCGCACTTTTAAGATTATCATTGCGCTGATGGTGGTTTTTATCGTGTGTCGACTGCCGTATTTTACTATACAGATTATGAAGTATTCGGAGACTCCTTTTCGAGACCAGGAAGAATTCTGGAATTTTATTTTTGCGTTCATGGCTCTGCATATTGTCAACTGTTGCTTGAATCCTTTGCTTTACACTTTTTTGAACGTGACGATGCAGGTGTGGCATAAAATTGAGAATTTTGTTTTGGAGGTTTGTTGCTTTTGTTGTTCGGGGAGAGAGTTTGAAAGTTTCGAGAAGGAGAATCCTTTTGTTATCGAGGATTATGGGAAGAAGAGGAGTTCGAAAGTGAGATTTACAGATGAAGAGAAATATTAAATAAACGAGTTTGATGTGAGGAACTGTTGTGTTATTTAATAAAATGCTTAAAAACAAGTAGAGATCGGATTGTATTGTGTCTCAGCATATTTTTTTAGTAGTATTACGAGCAATAATGATAGCCGTTGATATAATAATGCTAGAAAACATGTTGTATGCACTACTTTTTTAATGAGGCTACTGTCACGAAACTCTTAAGATACATTTTTCTTGCACCGAAAAGTAGGTACTAGGTTGGTACTTCCCACACTCAAAATGTCTGTCTCTTTAATTTATAACTTAATATCACTTAGGTTATTTAACAATACCGGTTTATTTCATATTAAAATACCTTATACACGGATGTAATTAATAAAAAATGTATGTTTTCTTAACACATTGTTTGCCGGTAAGCAAGGATACCATAAATAAAAGATTAACCATCGGTTTGAGAGGATAATTCTCATCACGTCCATAGTGGTCGATCTCTAAGTATAGGTGTTAAGCAAACGCACCTGTTTTGCTGGTTGCCTATCTCCAGAAAATGTGTCTTGGAGACAAGATCTATCTATTAGGTGACGTCGGACACTTTTTTCGTTTCGTTCATGGTACAAGTTAAATTCCATTACCAATCGTTGTCCAAAAACGATATTCAAAACTTGACTATTTTTTAGTTTTAGTTATTAGGTAAATTTAATCCCTAAAGCAAAAACAGCGAATTTTGAAACATACTTAGTATGATTTTCTACTCCCACATTCTTTATTAAGTAGTACTTTTACAGCTTTTTTCTTTCGGTAAAAAAGCAGATTACAACATGTCAGGTTTTATATGAGTGTTCAATTAATCAGTTTTATTGTTAAGATCGAAACTTGGTCCGTTTAGTAAATTAATCTGCAATAATTAATTAATAGTTGAACAAGATAAAACAAGAGTGTAATTATAATAAATTTAATAAACATGGAAGTCCAGTTGTTACTAAAATAAGAGAAAAACAAATATGTTTCGAACATGTTTTTTAACATAATTCTACCACTAAGTTAAGATATATACAGTTTTTACATTTTAACTAGGACACTTTTGTTTACATATTTGACTTTCTTCTGGACTAGACTGATTATTATAGACTCCAGATTTTACAAACTATTATTAATAAAAATAACAATTTGGTAAGAAAGAGTAAAATACATATTTTTTTTAATTTGAACATAAAAAATATGCCTGCGTTTCGAAGACGATTCCAACGCGGAAGCCAAGTAGAAAAATCATTTATTATTTTGGTGATCCTTCCCAACTTCTTCATCAGAAAATTTGTCCAGACCAAGCCTCAAACATTATGTTGTGCGCTTCTCACGTCAAAATCAAAAAACATTTGTCATGCTTTTCGAAGACGATTGTGATTCTTTCCAAATCTTCATCAGAAATTCGTCTAGACCAAACCCCAAATCTTACGATGTGCAGTTGCCACGGTCCAAAAATACATCAAAAAACATTTGTAGATGTTGCTGAAATTTCATTTTTTTAATAGATTGTTGAATTCTTCTTCTAACACTTACGTTTTAGAATGATTCCATTTCGTCGGAAGAAAAAATATTCGTCCAAACTCCGTCGAGAAGATGTTTCTTCTTTTTTGGTTGACTCTAAGATTAAAATACCTTCATAAGAGGCAGGGCGGTCTCCCAAAGTCATGAGGACATGACTGAATGTTTCTGAACTCTGTGAGAAATGTCGCTGATTGCTTAAAATCGGGTCGCTAATTGCTAAGGCTCCTAAGTACTTGGGCAGTTTCGGGTAATTTGTCTGTCACTGAAAAAGTGTACATATATAATGAAATGATACAAAAATAGACTCACTATTATTATTAGTATTTAAAAAATGCGAGCACAAAGTACCTTCAAAAACATTAAGCAAAAATAATGGCAGATTTTACTTACACAGAGTAAAGAATCATCGAACCATTGTCCCATTTTGGTAGTTTTAGCCTTGTATTCGAACTACAATCCTTACATCAATTTATCGAATTTTGATATTTGTGGGAATTTTCTATTTATGTTGAGACCTTCGTTATTTCGCAGCAATGTGTTGGATTTCGTAATATACTTAGAAAAGTAGATTATATAACTAAACTGAACTATTTCTTTGGAACTAATAATAATTTAAGCTGTCCTGGAAGAAAGCGTTCTGAAAATTGAATTTTAATTTATTTTGTTTTCACAACAGACAACGTACCTAAAATTATTTCCATTTCTTAGTAGTGGTATTGTCACTTCCTTGTTTTCAATAATTTTCTTACAAATCGATTCAGTTAATTTGTAGATAATACTAAACGGTACCATGCATCGCGTTGTTTTTATTCAATAATAGAGAAAACACAATAATTATTATGTATATTTTTTACGAAAATTTTGTTTTGTTGGTGATTGTAAGCAACATTAATAACTTTTCCATGTTTTTTGTTTAAAATTAAAAATTAAGGTGCACTTAAATTTAACATTTATAGCTACAGAGATGATAATCGATTACAATTTTTTATTGGAGTTACAAATTAGGGAATATTTTGTAATCACTCGTGAACAGAAGACCAAGCAAACGTGATGAAGTCATGTAGAAGAATTTTCAATAAGTAATTTCATTTTTATTGGTCAGATAACGTGGTAACTTGTAATCAAAGATACTGGAATGAGTAAATATATTTGTATGGGTAGAACATACGTTTGAGTCGTTTGATATCACCCAAATATTTAAATTAGGGCTATTTGCTTTCAAAATAAAACATATACCTATTATTGTTTCCGGATAACAATTATTTAATTAAAAACTTCGGCATTAACTGCAATTTTTCTACAAATTCCTTGGGATGTAACTAGGTTAGTTTATTGGACACTGTTTTTCATACCTCGTCCAGTTTAATGAGAAAAACAAGTGACATTCTGCTTACTACATTACAATGCATCTGCACAGTTTGGGGAAGTTTTTCTCTTACGATTCTTTGTAAAGGAATGATGCCCGGTTTGAGTGCCGGCTCTTATTAAACATTCTACAATTTTTGCGTGACCTGCTGCGGAAGCTAGGCAAAGTGGTGTTCGACCGTCATTCAGTGCGCGATTGATTTCGGCGCCGACTGTGGCCAAGTATTCAACAATTTTTTCATGACCCTTAAAGGAAGCTATGTGAAGAGGTGTCCAGCCGTCATTGTCAGCGCGATTGATTTCGGCGCCGACTGTTGCCAAGTATTCGACAACTTTTTCGTGACCCATTGTAGAAGCTATGTAAAGCGCTGTCCAACCGTCTTTATCAGCGCGATTGATTTCGGCGCCGACTGTCGCCAACAATTCGACAATTTTTTCGTGACCATTGAAAGAAGCCGTGTAAAGTGGTGTCCAGCCGACATTATCAGCGCGATTGATTTCGGCGCCGACTGTCGCCAAGTATTCGACAACTTTTTCGTGACCTTCGTGTGAAGCTATGAAAAGTGGTGTTTGACCGTCATTATCAGCGCGATTGATTTCGGCGCCGACTGTCGCCAAGTATTCGACAACTTTTTCGTGACCTTCTTGTGAAGCTATGAAAAGTGGTGCTTGACCGTAATTATCAGCACGATTGATTTCGGAGCCGACTGTCGCCAAGTATTCGACAACTTTTTCGTGACCCTCTTGTGAAGCTATGAAAAGTGGTGTCACACCGTCATTCTCAGCGCGATTGATTTCGGCGCCGACTGTCGCCAAGTATTCGACAACTTTTTCGTGACCATTGAAAGAAGCCGTGTAAAGTGGTGTCCAGCCGACATTATCAGCGCGATTGATTTCGGCGCCGACTGTCGCCAAGTATTCGACAACTTTTTCGTGACCTTCGTGTGAAGCTATGCAAAGTGGTGTTTGACCGTCATTATCAGCGCGATTGATTTCGGCGCCGACTGTCGCCAAGTATTCGACAACTTTTTCGTGACCTTCTTGTGAAGCTATGAAAAGTGGTGTTTGACCGTCATTATCAGCGCGATTGATTTCGGCGCCGACTGTCGCCAAGTATTCGACAACTTTTTCATGACCCTTAAAGGAAGCTTTGTGGAGAGGTGTCCAGCCGTTATTATTAGCGCGATTGATTTCGGCGCCGACTGTCGCCAAGTATTCGACGACTTTTTCGTGACCCATTGTAGAAGCTATGTAAAGCGCTGTCCAACCGTTTTCATCAGCGCGATTGATTTCGGCGCCGACTGTCGTCAAGTATTCGACAACTTTTTCATGACCATTAAAGGAAGCTTTGTGAAGAGGTCTCCAGCCGTTATTATTAGCGCGATTGATTTCGGCGCCGACTGTCGCCAAGTATTCGACGACTTTTTCGTGACCTTGTTGTGAAGCTATGAAAAGTGGTGTTTGACCGTCATTATCAGCGCGATTGATTTCGGCGCCGACTGTCGCCAAGTATTCGACAACTTTTTCATGACCCTTAAAGGAAGCTGTGTGAAGAGGTGTCCAGCCGTTATTATTAGCGCGATTGATTTCGGCGCCGACTGTCGCCAAGTATTCGACAACTTTTTCGTGACCTTCATGTGAAGCTATGAAAAGTGGTGTTTGACCGTCTTTATCAGCGCGATTGATTTCGGCGCCGACTGTCGCCAAGTATTCGACAACTTTTTCATGGCCCTTAAAGGAAGCTGTGTGAAGAGGTGTCCAGCCGTTATTATTAGCGCGATTGATTTCGGCGCCGACTGTCGCCAAGTATTCGACAACTTTTTCGTGACCTTCATGTGAAGCTATGAAAAGTGGTGTTGGAACGTCATTATCAGCGCGATTGATTTCGGCGCCGACTGTCGCCAAGTATTCGACAACTTTTTCATAACCCTTAAAGGAAGCTTTGTGAAGAGGTGTCCAGCCGTTATTATTAGCGCGATTGATTTCGGCGCCGACTGTCGCCAAGTATTCGACGACTTTTTCGTGACCCATTGTAGAAGCTATGTAAAGCGCTGTCCAACCGTATTCATCAGCGCGATTGATTTCGGCGCCGACTGTCGCCAAGTATTCGACAACTTTTTCGTGGCCATTGAAAGAAGCTGTGTGAAGAGGTGTCCAGACGTTATTATTAGCGCGATTGATTTCGGCGCCGAGTGTCGCCAAGTATTCGACGACTTTTTCGTGACCATTTTGAGAAGCGATGTAAAGCGGTGCTTCATTGAATTTATTAACACAATTGATATCGACACCTGATTTTACAAAATACTCAACGATTTTTAAATTACCGTTTTCGCAGGCCAGTCCGAGAGGTGTTTGAGCATTTTTTGCAGTAACAATTTCCACTTCACTCAAAAAATGATTCAACTCTTCAACTGTAAGGAGTTTACACACGTTGTCGTAACCCAGTAAAGCAGAATAATATATAACATTAATTATGTCATCACGAGATTGTCTCAATTCAAATTTTTTTGTTTGAAGTAATTGTATTTGTGCTCCTAGGCTCTCACTTTTTCGGGCATAAGCCAAAGGAGTCGCATCTAACAACATATCACGTTCGCCACCCTCATTCGTACTTTGCAAATACGTTATCGTGTCAAAGTATATTTCGTTCTCCGCTTTTTTATTGAAATTGCTATTTTCGTGCACAATACACTTGTCCTTTACATGCGTTACTTTTACACGCGGATGTCTTTGCCCCCATGACGAAATCAAATGTAAAACACTTCGTCCACCTTTATCTTTACAATTCAAAATTTCGTCGTCGTACGTTTTAAGTAACTCGTAACGTTTATACAATACAGCAATGTGAGCTTTTGAGTTTTTAGCCAACAACATGTCAAAAAAGAATCGAACGTTGTTATACCTTGCGTCAAACAACAAGTCCGCAATTGTGTCTTTAAAATTATTAATATTTTTTGAAAAGTTTCTAGCAACTAGATACTCTGCGAAGGAACTGTGCACAAAACGTGGAACATCATTTTGAAAGTCATTTACAAGACACAGAGGGGCATAATTTCGTAAAAGTTTTTGTACACATTTTTCGTAATCAATATTCAGTCGCTGCGTAATTTCTTCTTCAAATATTACTCTAAAGGACACACGTTCGTAATATTCTGCAGCCTTTCGTTTTTTTTCACAGACTATAACTTCCATTTGGGGATTTCCTAAATCGTATCCAATTTTGTCTTTGTAAAAGTTATTAAATTTTTCCTGAATAAAATATTCGTAAAGGTCAGTCAAGACGAATGTGTTATCGAAAAGTTTCAAATATTTTTCGTTATTTTCACGGAACAGTTCGGTAAGCATGAATATTTGGAGAGGGATACCTAGTATATCTATGTGTCCTACAATCGCAAAAGATGATTTGATTTTTTCGAGCGTTACGTCAATGCTGGTTTCTGAATTAAAAGATTTTAGACGTTTTCTGATATATTTTTCTTGTTCGTGTTCATTAAATTGATTTATACCAAGTGACAACAAATTGAATTTATTTTCTAGAGTTGATTTTAAATGTCGTCTGCTTGTAACCCACTGACGGAACCCTTTTGTTGAAAGATGGAGAATTATATTTAAAGCGGCATATAAATTGTCATTTAAGATTTCATCGAGTGCGTCCCACACGTAAATTACGATGTTTTTCTTTATACATTTCGTAAAACAATAGGTCTAGTTTTTTGAGCGACTCATATTTTTTATTTATGATGAATTTTACAAATAAATCTGAACAATTATTATCTGTTTTAGAGAAATTGGGTTTGTGAAAAAATAAATTAACGTCCTTGGGAGTAATCAAAACCGTCCAGTATTCGCAAGAACATGTATTTTTTAAGCTTTTCACCAACTCGGTTTTACCCATTCCTGGATCTGCAGTTATAAGATTGATGTTATAATCTAACCGAGAAGACCACAAGGCATTTTCTTCGGTAGGATATGCGTCAGGCAATTTGTACGCCTCTAGATTACTAACATCACCTCTGCTACAAAGCCATTCTAAATTTCCGTCACTCAAAATTTTAAAATAATGAAACTGTTTTGTTGTTTTGTGCTCGTTATAAATTTGTTGAAGTTCAGAATCATTATAGTGTCTAGTACCAACGTAAACTTTGTTATTAAAACTTGATTTATCAAACATAAATTCATATTTGTTGTCGTGAAGATTAGAATTTAGCTCAATTTTTTTCCTGTTACCTACGTAATTTATGTTATTAAAGTTAGGTTCATTAACGTTAAAGTCATTATTTTTAAAATTTTCGCCATTCGGATTTTTTTTCAGTAAGAAGTTATTAATGTCAATTACTTCACATTTATCGAGTTTGCTTTTAAGTTTGTTTATATTATTGGCAGAATTTAAAATAATAATTGTGTTTTGGTGAACTTTTTCTAAATATGTATTATCAATGACATTTCGCGAAATATAGCGTTCTATATAAGCTTCGGCTAGTGTTTCTTTTGTTCCTCCAACGCAACATGTACCGTTCAGCATTTCGACGAGGATATCAGTTGAAACATTTTTGAAAAAATCTTCATCACTGCCAAAAGATGTTACAAGATCAAGTTCGCCCTTTCCCTGAATCGAAATGGTAAAATTTTGCATTACATTTTTGTGAATTTCGGGCTTCAAACTCAAGTCTGACAGATTTTGGAACACGGAATAGTTTTTCACCCATTCCTCATCTTTAGTTCCTCCAACCAAAACGAATTTTTTGTCGGGACACAGCTGTATTATATTTTTCATCTTTTCCCATGCACGTAAAATTAATGGACATTCGTCCATTAACCACAACAGTTGAGTGAACGCTTTGGGATCTACGGTATCGATGTCGGTGTCTTTAATATGTGCGAGAGTAGGTAGATATCTCCTTCTAACTTTATTTAATTCCTTAAAGTCAACAGTTTTTTCCTGTCCGACATCACCCCACATTTGCTTAACCGTTTCGACTGATTCCTCTTCAATCAGTGTGACACCAAAGAAGGAAATCGCTTCCCGAAAAATTTTCATTTTCTCATTAACTGGACCGAAAGAAAGAGACTCAGTATGAGAGGACAGCAGATGCAGCGCAAGCACAAGCTGTGCCCACTTTTTATCTATCTTTTCTTTCTTCCCATCTTCGACGTTCCACGCAGCCACTGTTCTGAGGAATTTACCGAATGTTTCGTTATCCGAACAATATGTTGTCTTGAATTTGTTAGCGGTTATTGTTTTCAGAGTATCACAATTTTCTTGGTCGGTATAGAGAAAAAACTTGCGAAAAAATTCCTGATATTCTTGAATTCTGGGAAAATTCTCCACTGTCGATTGATCATCTACTGTTTCAAACTGATAAACGTGACTAATATTTTCTGAAATCTCTGAGCTAACTTCTCTTTTAATAAGCTTGACGTAAAATCCTTCGTCCTCAAGTTGGAAGGTTGCGTTTTCGGGTGGGTTAAACGCCCGATTTGTAAACAAAATCAATTCATCCGGCTTTTTCTTAATTTGTTGGTAACTTTTAAAATATTTTGTAATACTAAAATCTCCTTTTGCGGTTCGCAGATTTTCTAGAGAGAGTACTTTCCTCTCGGTGTGTTTTAACTGCACCGCTTTAACCTGAATGTCGTTTCCCTTATCCGATGCAAGTTTAATGACCAAATCATCAAACGCCCCAAAATCAATATCATTTGATGAAATATGGAACGTTTTTACTGTGGAGTCGTTTAATAGTCTTAGCACAACATTGGCGAGTACCACATCTTCATAGTCTCTACCCTTGTCCGTTGTACCGGGTCTTTTTTTAAAAGTCTAGAAAGGAATAGACGAACAATTGTTTTGAAAAGGAACTATTCAGTAATTATTTTGTTTGCATGATCAAAAAATTATGTAATAGTCCCTCCGTCCAGAAATAAGTGTCCGATTTCGATGTTTTTCTTGTCCAAAAATAAGTGTCCAATTTCATTCAATAAATTAATCTCAATAAAAACATCATTACACATTTTATTCAAACTTAGCAACAAATAATATTCATTCTAAATTACTTAAACTGAACTAACGATGTCTTGTACATGTTGATAAAGGGCGAAGTCAACATTTACAGAAATGGGAAGCCTACCAAATCTTTGTAAATGGTATTTTTTCATATGACGCAATTTATAGTTGTTACCTCCATTTACTTTCATAATTTCTACCATACATTGGTGGTGAGAAAGGAAAACCTTGTTCAAAATATCGGAGTTCAATTCAGAACACACGTTTTGAACAGCATGGATTAATGCATCTTATTTGGACTTACATTGGGTCTTCTAAAATCGTTGAAAATTCCTGATTTTTGATCACGAACTTTATTTTCCAAGAGAAATTACAGAACTTTGTCCCTGTTGCCAAAAATTTCACCCGTCTAAAGTGTTTCCAAAATCACGGTCAACTTTTAAAAACAATGCCTACTTGTCTTAATTTTTGTAAAAAATCAAACTCGGAGACGTATTTCTGGACGGAGGAAGTAGCAATTTTACTTCCCGAACGTAAGCGAATGCTTTGAAATTTGCAGATGTTTTAAAGTTACCATAGGTATGGTAAATTTTTGTTCAAAATGTATTTGCTCATCCCCCTAAAAAATTGATGACGCCACCACAAAATTTTGCTGAAAAAATGCGCAAGCTATGATGCGTCTATACTTGTGATTCATCACTGCATAAATATTTTTCAGATTTGCTTATACGGAGTGTCTCAAAAAAATTAATGACTGAGTCGATTTATTTTATTGATTAAATCAAGAATTGCAAAACTGAATACTTTGAAATCTTGCAGACGTTTTGAAGTAATTGTAAGCATGGTAACTTTTTAATCAAAACGTATCTGTTTATCAACCCCAAAAAATTGATGGCTTCATCTCAAAATTTTGCCGAATAGATCCTTTCGAAAATGTGCACAATATGATCAGCCTGTACTTGTAATTTATCAGTGAATTCATATTTTTTAGATTTGCTTATACGCGGTGACTTAAAAAAAAATCAATGAGTCAATTTATTTTATTGACTCCATTTTCCCGAAAAATTTTGGGAATACAACACTATTATTTTTAGTATTACACTGCACTAATCCAAGTTGATATATGTGTTCTTATAAAAATGTTGATGAAGTCATCACAAAATTGTGTAAAGGAAAAACTCATCTCGAAAATGCTGGGTTTGGTTCACTGTACTTCAGGAGCGAGGGAAATTCTGTTGAAACAACTTTCGACCATTTTTTTTTTGTATTTTAATTTATACCTAACAATATCTCTGCCATCAATCTATAATAATTTTTATTGTATGTGGAAGAATAATTGTCTATTTTCAAGACGTTAAAGAGAATCTTTATCTACGATTTTGTGAATTTTGTTATTTGAAACGTTTTACTGAATTTATTTATATCACTTTATAAAATATATCTATCATTTTATAAATATTTGAAAATACATGTTTAAATTAATTTAATCGTCAAACAAATATACCAACTTGATCAGAACGAAAGCAAACCTTGTGGGTTTTTGAGATAAATCAAAACTAACTAAAACATCCTTATCTTGTTACGTTTCCGCTCCCGGCTGGGAGTTTTTTTCAAACTTAAATATCATGACGTGATTATAACGAGAAAAACTCTATACGATTAGAGGCTTCATCTTGCGTCATTTATTTAAACGATGAGACTTTGTTAAATAAATGACGCAAGATGAAGTCTCGAATCGTATAGAGTTTTCTTCTTTTACTTTTGTTGTTTAAGACATGTGAAATATAATATTTAAGTTTGAAGAAGACTTGAAACGTAAAAGATAAAGAATGGCTTAATTAGTTTTCATTAAAAATACCACCAGAAGGTTAACTTTCAATTTGATTAGATTAACAGAAAGGGTCACAAAAAAATAAAAAACCAAGTAAATCAACCTCCCCATGCTGATGTAATCTCAGTCTTCGAGTACAATTTCAGATTGTTCCGCTATTTTTAAAATTATGGGAGCCTTTTCGTTAATAGACCAGTTTATCAGAAAAACTTGCTAGTGTGATAGTTGGCAAGCGGCAAAAAATATCGACTTCGACGTATTGTTGGCTATATTATACAGAACTTTAAAGTTTTAACATATAAATTTGTGAATATTAATTTAGTGAATAAAATTTATAAAACTTGATTGTTTTTTTCACTCTGTACAACAGACCGAGGACAGCTGTGAATATGGCCTAAAGTAAAAAAATACCCAAAAAAATTGTACGTATTTGTTGATTTAGAAGTTTTAGAAAAATATAAAAATGTGAATCTTAATTTAGTGAATAAAATTTATAACTCTTGATTGTTTCTTTTACTCTCCACAACAAATCGGGGACAACTGTTAATATCATGGCTTAAAATAAGTAAAGTGAAAGAAAAAAAAAAAAATCACAAAATCGGTATACACAAAAAAAAATAGTATTCGTTGATGTAGAATTTTAACAATGCACTTAAATAAAAATCACTGCACTGTTAGCAACCAAGTTCTATATACCTATATGTATAAATAAAAAAAACACTCACCTCAGTTTTCTCCATTTTTCAAATTTAAGTCACCAACAGAAGCCAGATTTTTCACTACACGACTGTTTTTACACGAGGAAGAGAAAAACATCCTTTTATATATGTGCGGTAACAAATTCGTTATTTGTTTTTGATAAGATAATAAGTAAACAAATTTTTAGAATCAGGTAACATATTTTCAATTACTTATCTCAAACCGAAATATTAAATAAATATGATCACTACAAATTGGAAATTCCGTTCTGATTTTGTAGTTCTGGAGCTTCTTCAAATACTCAAATTCTGTACACATCCTCTTAATATAAAATTTTACAACTTTGAAATTTTTCAAAAAATTGTCAAAATCGTACTCGAGTTTAAAATATCCATAATACTAAATAGTAACTTAAAATATTCGCATCTGATTCTTATCTTGGTGGTTGGCTGTTCGTTGTTGCCATTATTAAATAGTACAAGTGTGTGGTACCACCCGGAGTTCTCGGCTGCTCGGCTCTCGTCGGGTGTTCGGTACCACCCCCAAATTTATTCATCACCGCCCTCCTGGACGAACGGGTGGCGGACCAGAGTCACCAACAACCCGTCAACGGGCACGCGTCGCAAAAATACATAAATGTTTCATTATCAAGTATATATATTGACATGTACATAATAATCAATAAATCGTTGTTAAAGGTGCACGTCGTTCCACAATTAATAATCACTACAGTTTCCACAACAAGTGTATTTTCGTAAGATAATGCGTCCGAATCGTAGACAGTGGCGGAATCTAGGTGGAAACTGATTAAAGTATCATACGTTGATCGTTGATGTTTTCAGAAAAACAAGCTCTATACAAATTCTTGAAAATATATAGGTATGTAGTCTCTTCAGTATTGTGAATAAAAGAAATAAATCTCTCTGACTGTGTAAATTATTACCTAAATCTAAATTTGTTAATCAACCGCATTTTAGCGCTCCAAATTTTGGGTTTATGTATATATATATATATATATATATATATATATATATAGATAGATTAAAAGTGGATTTTCCCTATTTACATTTTTTTTAAATCAGAACTATATACACACATGTAGGTAGTACTAAATAAATAAATACACACCTTTAAAATCCATTCGACATATTTGGTTAACTAAATATTTATACGAAATCGTTAAATTGAGGTACACTTTAAACAAAGATAAGTAATTAAATTAAAAAAGAAGACATTTTCTTTAGTTTCGAATCAGTTGTCTTGGAGGTTATTCAAAGATTAAAATTCTGTACGACGTCATTTTAACATGCAATTTTCTATTGCTTTTTGCTTTTAAATTGTTATCAAAATCGTACTCGAAAGTAAAATTATAGATGAACATGAATTTCTGTTTAACAATAAACTTGACATAAAATACAGACTTGTTTCGTTCCAAAATCTAGAACGATGGTACCATGTACCATGGTGTTTTTGTACCAACTATATCAAAATGGTTCCAGTTATTAAAGTAAAAAAATAAACACAAAAACCAAACCGACGAAGGGTGGTCTGACTGCCACGACGAACAAGCGACAAACTCTATCTGGAGGTTATTTTGAAAAATATTCGGCAGGCTAGAGGGTGGTCTATGCGGAGTGTGCTTAACGATTGGCAAACAATAAACATATGGTTCGAAAATATGCGAAAACGCAAAAATATAGAATACAACATCTCAGATAATTCCAAAATGAAAGCTGATCATTGCATTAATTTTAAAAGAAATTAGAAAAATCTCCATTGGTTGTTGAAAATCTACATCATCCTCCTCTATGTATAAAAATTAACAAGATTTCCTTTCGTTCTCCTCGAGCTTTTCAAATGAATAGTTTGGATAACAACTTCATCTTTACAAAGGCGAATTTTTATCTACTTTAACAGCAACATTTTACTATCGATTGGGGATTTATAAAGGATATTGACAATGTGGAAGAAACATGTTCCAAACTTTATGACTTCATCACCGTAATAACCTTCCTTGGTTTACCAGTGACGTCATTCAATCTATTTGCTTAAAAAAATATGCTTTCAAAAAATATAAAAAGAGCGGTTCTTCACAAACCTATGACTTATTTAAACTTTTTTCTTCCAACTCTAAAATATTTATTAATACTGTTTATCCAAGTTAATTTTTTGCCTGATTTAGAAGAATCCATCTGTTGATTCTTACATTTAGAATTTCGGGCTTGGCGTTTTATTTAAAATAAAAAAAAAAACATTCAGAGTTCCGGGCTTTATGATTTATAGAGATAATGAGTTTAATGAAATTGTTGAATTTTCAATAGTGTTTTTATTGCTTCTAAACCTATGGAGTATTTTCAGGTTTCTTCAAATTCTAGTGTTAATATTTCTATTCCACCGTGTCAAATTTTTATTGAAGATGTTCTATTTTTTATCCCACAGACAGTTTAATAGGATAAATGCATTGTAATTATAACAAGTCTCCTAATAGTAACTATTACAAAAAAAATACAATTAAGAAATATTATGTGATACAACATGAATAAATATATTTAATTAAGACAGTATAATTGTTTTGCAATTTCGCCTAAATGTTGTTACATTATTTTCAAATACAGGGTGTTTAAAACCTAAGTTTAAACAATATTTTTTTAAATTTCAACTTCCTCTTTACGCAAGCAATAATGAGGTCAAGAAAACGACGAGCTTGCAGAACGCGGAAACGCCGGTATTGCAAGCACCAGCATTATGAAGGGCTGACCCATGGTAGAAGGAGACATGGTATAGGCATACGCATCGGGTGTGACGTCAAGTGGGGTGAAATTAGCGCGAAATTTAAAATACATTCTTTAAATTGCAAAAATTTATTTGTGATTATTCAGTTGTTGCAGTCGTATGTCTGATCTGATCACAGAATTTAGATTTGTGGAGAGAACTGAGCATAAATACATACGTCAAAAACCTCTTTTGAACACTCAAGAGATAAGAGCAAATTGGTATTTGCATTTGCTCATGTCCCACATTTATCGAAATTGATACGAAACCACATTTTTGGACCGTTCAACTTTCAATAATTATATTTTTATCATTATTAATTTCATTAACTTTCGTTACCCGACAACTAATTAACGTATTGGACAGAGCAATGAGCAATGACAACTCAAGCTGAAATTCCCTAGACTTCCCTAGCGAAGCTCACAAGAGTCACAAGGTCGTTGATGCCACCTAACGTCACAAATGGATGCGCAGACGATTTTTAAATTGGTACATCGAATGCCTATACCATGTCTCCTTCTACCATGGGCTGACCATCGCAACAGCAGCATCGTCAGCTTTACGAAGACAGCGGCACCAGAACAATAGAAAACACCAGAAACTGGGACGCCATATATTTTCATATTCAATATTACTTACTGTTAGTTCACTGCTTTAGTTTAATAATTATATATAAAAATTTCGCCAAAACTTTTTTATAAATCGATCCTTCGACGCATGGAACGGTTTACCTTCTTCCGCAGTCACTGCACAGACTCTATCGTCTTTTAAGAGAGAAATTGACACAATTATTTTTCAATGTTAAACAAAAATCTATCTATCTATTTATTTTATATACATATATCACCCGACAATAGGCTCTTATAACGTTGGGCCCATACAAATTAATTTTTCTTGCCTAACTTTTATTGCTAAATAACAATAATAATAATATTAATAATTTTGACAAATCCTATGTAATGTCTTACACAAATAAAAATTCACAGATATTATACAATTACACGTTAAGTAACATTTTAGTGTCTCGGGTTGATTGATACTTTTAAAGATCTTGGTGTTGCCTTTGATTCGAGACTCACTTTTCACAATCATATTAATGCAGTCACTTTAGAAACTTTCAAATCTCTTGGCTTTGTTATACGATTTGGTTATCATCTAACCGATATAAATTGTCTTCGTATCCTATATTTCGCCTACGTGCGTTCTAAACTTGAATACACAAGTGTCGTCTGGTTTCCTTTTCAAAAAACCTATAATGATTCTTTGGCAAAGATTCAACGGAAATTTTTAAAGTATCTAATGTTTAGGGCTGATGGCAACTACCCCCCTAGATAATTTCCACTTACGGGTTAAGGCAGCTTTAAACTTCCTAAAAAAGTTTATTGCATTTGACATTGCTTGTTCTTAATAATAATAATAATAATAATTAGTGCCCCCCTAGGGCATTAAGAATAGTTGGCATTGTAACGTCAACCGAACACGCTATTAGCTTTGTGAATGTTATGCAACCAACATGGCCGGTTTTAGTTGGGTGCACAACTAATGTTTACTGTAAAATCGAGAATTGGTTAATTTTGCAAATTAATCTGCATTAATTCATTCAGTAAAGCTAAACATGAGTATATAGATAAATTATTGCCGAAACGTTAACTCTTTAAAAAAAAAGAAACTAAGTAAATTACGTGCTTAAGTCATTTATAAGAACAAGTATTACGGAAAAAAATTGGTCTAAAGAGTTTAGACAGTACTTCCCTCGCTGTCGGAAACTTGACGACTGCATGCCTATTGTGTTTTTTTTCTCATTACATTTTTGTAGTGGGAATTTAAAAAAAAATTGCGATGACGTCATCAACATTTTTGCAAGGACACGTATATCAGTTGGGATAGATGTAGTGTAATACTAAGAATAAAATTATTATATTCTCAAATTTTCGGGAAAATGAATTGGGTCGTTTGAATATTGATTTGTAATAATCAATAAAATAACGAAACAATTTACTCACGTATACCTACGTATCAGAGGCAACTGAAAATCGTGTATGTATAAACATTGTTAATTTAAGATGACAGGCGTAACAGCATACGTGAGAGCCAAACACAGAAACTGTAAACAAAACGACCGTCGGTTTTATTGCTTCGACTTCCGCTTATTATATAAAACATTGGGTTTTATTTTAATTCTTGACGGTGAAATTCACAATTGGTTGATTATAAACATGTCTATTTCACATTCGCGGAATCAAATGAACGCATAAAACAAATGCAGGTCTGTAATGTTAAAGTCGATGTAAATAAGCGTGCTACCCTTATGTTTCAACCGAGTTTTTCCTTTAACAAATTTTGTGTCTACCAAATTGGGTTGGTTGGGGTGTAATACTAATAATAAGTGTTGCCTTTAATTTAATCAATAAAATAAATTGACTTCATTAGTTTTTTTGAACCACCTCTTAAGAAAATCTAAAAAATATGAATGGAATGATAAATCACAAGTACAAACTCATCATATTTTTTGCATTTTAGATAGGATTTATTCAGCAAAATTTAAGGGTGACGTCATCAATTTTTTTAGGAGGGATGAACAAATACATTTTGAACAAAAGTTTACCATGCTTATAATAACTTTAAAATATTCCCAAGATTTCAAAGCATTCGGTTTTGTAATTCCTGATTAAATCGATAAAATAAATTCACGCCTTCATTAATTTTTTTGAGTCACCCTGCATATGCAAATCCAAAAATATGAATGGAATGATAAATCACAAGTACAGACTCATCATATTTTGTACATTTTAGATACGATTTATTCGGAAAACTTTTGAGCTGACGTCATCAGTTTTTTGTAGAAGATAACCAAATATATTTTGACTAAAAATTTATTGTGCTCTTTATAACCTTAAAACATCTGCAAGATTTCAAAGCATTCGGTTTTGTAGTTCCTGATTAAATCAATAAAATAAATTTACGCATTCATTAATTTTTTTGAGTCACTCTGTATATGCAAATCCAAAAAATATGAATGGAGTGATAAATGACAAGTACAGGCTCATCATATTTTGTACATTTTAGATATGATTTATTCGGCAAACTTTCGAGCTGACGTCATCAAGTTTTTGGAGGGGATAAGCAAATATATTTTGACTAAACATTTATTATGCTCTTTATGACCTTAAAACATCTGCAAGATTTCAGAGCATTCGGTTTTGTAGTTCCTGATTAAATCAATAAAATATATTTACGCATTCATTAATTTTTTTGAGTCACCCTGTATATGCAAATCCAAAAAAAATTAATGGAGTGATAGTTCACAAGTACAGACTCATCATATTTTGTACATTTTAGATATGATTTATTCCACAAACTTTTGAGCTGACGTCATCAAGTTTTTGGAGGGGATAAGCAAATATTTTTTGACTAAAGATTTATGATGCTCTTTATACCCTTAAAACATCTGCAACATTTCAAAGCATTCTGGTTAGCAGATTAAAAATTAAATTTCAAAATGTTGTTTTATAATTTTGATTTTTTTTCCAAAAATCTGGACGTTTCGGGTGAAAAGTCGATTCAGAGTTGTAAACTACATGTGTAGGACTATGTTATTTTATACAATTGAAAACCCATTTACTATGTACAATTTTGAAGTGACGTCATCGCATTAGTGGTGGGGATGATTAGACAAATTTTGGTTAGCGTTTTACCATGTACATGATATTCTTAATATAAGTACAAAATTTCACAACAATCGGTCGTGTACTTTCGGAGATTATCTGTTTAATAAAAATCCGTGACAACAGACGGACAGACGGACAGACGGACAGACGGACGGACAGACGGACAGACGGACAGACGGACAGACGGACAGACAGACGGAAATGGGAGACCTATTTCTTCGTCTTCTAGGGGTCATGAAAGATCGAGAAAACGTAAAAGTAGAGAGTCGGCCGACGGACTCGATTACAATACTTCCTTTGCTTACGCTCGGGAAGTAAAAATTAAACTACATATATTAATTTAAAAATTATTTATTACAATTTAGAATGAAAGTAAGGTACAACTAAAATCACAAAAACTGCACGTATATCTAAATTAGTTGTGTTTTGATGATGTTTTTTAATATAAATAAATCACTAAATTAAAATATAGGAGTATATTTTATACATATACGTAGAGCACTTTTGTTAACATGTTTAATTTACTTCTGGAATGGACTGATGGAGCGTTTCGACTCTTGGTTTTCCTTCGATTCCTGTAAACATAGTCTCATTAATAAAGACCAAAATTATTATTTTTGAATTTTACGTATAGCATAGTTTTTGAATATAAAAATTATACCTGTGACAATTTCTGAAAAAAACCGTAGTCTTCTTCAAACTTCTCGAAGATGATTCTTTCGGAGAAAGATCGGTCTTATTTTGGTGATGCTTTCCAACTGTTCATCAGAAAATTAGTCTAGACGAAGCCCCAAATATTAGGTTGTGCAGTTGTCACGGTCCAAAAATACATCAAAAAATATCAGTTGCTGAAATTTCATTTCTTTCTTAATAAATTGTTGAACTCTTCTTTTAAAATTTACCTTTTAGAATTATTCCATTTCTTCGGAAGAAAGATAATCGTCCAAGCTCCGTTGAGACCATGTTTCCTGAAATAGTTGATCAGTTACTCTGAGTATTGCATTTGTTGATTCTAAGGTGAAAATACCTTCATGAGACAGTGTCATAGATTTTACAGAATTCAAAAGAAGGCGGTCTATATCTTCGTAGGTTTCCCAAAGATGACGACATGATAAGTTTAATCTGCAAAGTTTAGATATAATGAAATGGTACAAATATACTGGCTATTATTATTACGAGTAGTATTTGAAAAATGGAAGCACAATGGAAAACATAGAAAATATTGTTTCGTTTTAGTCGAATCACAATCCTTACATCAATTTATCGAATCATCAGGTCTTGTCCTCTTGATATTTGTAAGAGTTTTGTCAAAAATTTCGACATCAAAATTTATTGGAATGCTAAAACCCAAGTGTGAATTGTGGGAGTCTTTGATTTATGTTGTTATCTTCGTTATTTCGCATCACTGTGTTGCATTTCGTTATGGGACTTATTTTAAGAAAGAAGGGGTCCTGCAAAATGATATTCTAATTTATTTTGTTTTCACAACATATAACAAATTTACCTAAACATATTTCCATTTCTTAATTGACGTATTGTCATTTCATTGTTTTCAATTTTCTTACAAATCGATTCAGCAAATTTGTAAGTAATACTAAACGGTACCATGTAGAGAAAACACAATTATTATGTTTGGTTTTTACAAAAATTTTCTTTATCAGTTATTGTAAATGACATTAATAACTTTTTCATGTGTTATTTTTTAACATGTGTCGTTACAGTGTTTTGCAGCTGCACTTATTGGAGTCACAAATTAGGAAATATTTTGTAATGACTAATGACTCATCACCAGAGGACTAGCCAGACGTGATGAAGTGACGTAGAAGAATTTTCAACAAATAAGTATAACGTTTTGTTTTACAATTAACCCCGCAACTTATAATCAAGGATTCTGGAATGGGTGAATACATTTGTCCGGATAGAAGATACGTTTGATATATCACAAATATATATAATCGTGCTATTCTGTAGATTAATGGTATTGAAAGAGGAATTCATTAATGTGGCTAATGGTTTGGGTACCACAAGGTTGTCTTGTAAAACATTATAAAGTGGTATGCCATCTAAACCTGGGACAGTGTTGCTTTTTGTTTTAGTTATATATATGATAAAACAATGTTTTCAGTAAATTTGGCATTACAAAGTTGGTTTTCAATGCTTGTTCTGAATATGGGTAAGTCTTCCATTGGTTCACGATGCGTTGGTATTTGCCAAAAGCTCGACTACCTCGAAATCGGAGTTACATAAGTTACCGTTTGATTTTTTGAGTAAGGGAATGCGTACTTTTGATGGAATAGTTGTTCTAACATACTTGTAAAATTTTTTATGGTAGTTGCTGTTTATTATATTCTTTTCGTAATTTTACCTAAATTGTCTGATTTTTTCTGACTGTCTTCGAGTGTTGTCTATAGCGAAGAAAATTGTCCGGTGTTAGATTTATCAAATACGATTTGCATATTTCTTTGTAATACTATATGATCGGATGTTCCAATATTGGGTATATACTTGATTTCTCTGAATAGTTGAGGATTGGTTGTCAAAATTAGATCTAGAAGCGTGTAAATTGACTGACTAAAGTAAGTTTGCAGTTTCTAGGATGTTGAGAAAATCCTCAAACAAAGTGTTCCTATCAGGAAAAGGCTAATACAGTAGTAGGGTAGTTAAAGTCTTCAAATATAATAATTAGGTGATTGTACCGTTGTGATGAAGCGAGATGTTGGTGATTTTGAAGCCTTTGAAGCCAATCTGATTATTATAAATGCTTCATCCTCCTCCTGTTTAATTTAAGCGGTCACATCGATAGGTATAGTTACGAATAGAAATAAGAGAATCGGGAATTTTACAGAAAAATATGTTTCAGTGATAAGCATAAAGGTTAGTTGCAATAATAATAATAATAATAATTTTATTGTCCAACAGGTTACCCTAATGACAGAACAAATCCAAATAATTACTTACATGAATAACCAACAGAAAAATTATAACAATAACAAAAACATAATACCAAGTATAAACTAATTTGAATAAAATATATCAGCTACATATCTATCTGCACATCGACACATTGTAGTAATTGGCGTCGATTAGTTCGGGCGGTGGAGATATGAAAGGTGTTAACATATCGCGATGCTGGCCGAGGGACATTAAATCTACTAGTCTGTGATAATAAATATGGGCAATCAATTTTGTTGTGAATAAGCTTGCACAAGAAGTTAACCGCATGCAGATCCTTTCGAACCATCAAAGAGGACATCTTGTGTCGTTGGAGAAAACTTTCCATCTCAGTACCTCTGTCCGGATAATTACCATCAATTTTGAACGAAAGGAATTTTAAAAATTTCCTGTGCACTTTATCAAGAAGCATGTGCTGACACATATATATGGCATACCATATTAGTGAGGCGTATTCTAATTTCGAAAGAACATATGCAAAGAAGAGGGATTTAATTACGTCAATGTTGTTGAAAAATTTTCAAGTTCTCATGACAAACCCCAACCATTTATTTGCAGTATTGCAAATGTTGGTAAGATGAATATCAAAAGTCAAGCAGCTATTAAAACCTAGGTCTTTGATCGATGTTTTTCGTTCTAACGGTGTACCTTCTATTGAATAAGAAAAATCAACGATATTAAGTTTCCGACAATATGAAATGTAGCAACATTTACTAATATTAATAATAAGTCTATTTTGATTGTACCATTCCACGATTTTCATAAGTTCACGTTGTAAAAACTCAGCATCATAAAGACTTGAGATTTTAGAATCAATTTTCAGATCATCAGCATAAGCTAAAATACTGCAATTTAAATATTCCAAAAGGTCATTGATAAATAGACTGAAGAGGAGAGGCCCAAGGTTAGAGCCTTGTGGGACTCCAGACCTTGACAAAAAACGAAAAGACGTAAAACCATTGTAAAATACATAGTTGTTACGGTTTATTAAGTAAGATTCCATCAGTTTGAGAAGGGGATAGTTAAATCCAAAGTTATTAAGTTTGCCTAACAGAATGTCGTGAGGAAGAACATCAAAAGCTCTGGAAAAGTCAGTATATATTACGTCTATTTGTTCTCGTCTATCAAGTGCAACACTTAGATCTTGAACAAGCACTGCAAGGTTTGTAGATGTAGATCTATCAGTTCTGAATCCATGCTGTCCTAAACTGATATGCGAACGAGTATTATTGTAAATGCAACTATATAATGCCTGTTCAAAAACTTTGGCAAATTTGCTTAGAATGGAAATAGGACGATAGTTCGCTAGTAAAGATGGATCACCCTTTTTAAAAATAGGACTGATTCTTGCAATTTTCCAAAGGTCCGGGAATGTACTTGTTTTAAGTGCCTTGTTAATTATGATGGATAAAGGTTGGATAAGTGCATATCTACAGTCACGTATCAAAAAACTAGGGACTAAGTCATCACCACATGTTTGTTTGTTGGATAAATTTGACATGATCAGAATTAAATCCTCTATGCTGACGGAAGACATTGAGAAAGAATTTGAAGAAATAGAAGTAGACTCTATGTGCGTAGAGTTGTTAACAGTAAATACATTGGCAAAGGTAGCAGCAAATGCATCCACAATATCCTGAGGTTCCGAAAATATATTTCCATTATTGTCTCTTAACTGACCCGGTATTCTAGAAGTGCCATTTTTCAAATGTATAAAGCTCCATAAATATGAAGGATCAGATTTGATATTGCTCTGGACATGATTTAGATACAGTTGGTAGGCATTATCCATTTGTTTTTTAACAATAGCTCTTAATCGTTTGAGTTCGATATAGAATTTAGAATCTTTAAATTTAATCCATTTACTCCCGTAACAGTCTTTTGTTTTTATATTCTGCTTAATCTCAGAAGTAAGCCAAGGTGGAAATTTCGAAGAGCTAGAGGTTACACGTGGAACAGATGTATCAAATAACTTATAAAGACAAGAATAAAAACCCTCAAGAGCAATATTTACATCTTCCTGACTTTCTAAAAAAGACCAATCCGCGTTGTTGATGTCATGATATAATTTTAAAAAGTTGGCCTTGCGAAAGTTATAGCGAAGTTTTTTTGCTAACGGAAACTTAGAAGTGATACTAGGCATAGCAAAATTAAAGTTTAGATGGAGAATCCAACTAATACTCCACCTCCTCTAGAGGGACGAACCAATGAAAATTTTCTATCACAACGAATGACACTATAATAAGAAGGAAATATTTCAGAAGTGAGAATGGAATCATGTAACCAAGTTTCACTAATTGCGATAATGTCAAAAGACAGATCGCAACAACTGACGTAAAAAGAATGAGATTTGGAAGGAAGTCCACGAACATTTTGGTAATACAGACTTAGTGTTGAATACCTGCTGGACTGATCTAGTTTTCCGACAAGTTTGCAATAGTAGTAGGTATGCCATTACGATATTGAATTTTCAGATTTTTTTCACCCTGAGCCAAACGATTGTCAAGTGCTGCCCTTAGCGATTTATATGCATTAATTTGCATAGGAGTACGATCCATTGAGATGTTAATGTGAGACCATTTACCCATTGATTTTAAAGTTTTAAAGTTTTTGATCATACTTGAAACATCTTCAGGACTGGACAATGTAACTTAAATAGGACGCGCTCTGTTGACATTTGTTGCATCAAATTTACCAAGATGAACCGGTGGAACAATTGGCAAGTTAAGTTTTGATTCAGATGTAAAATCATTGACAAGAGAACAATCAACAACATTTTGTTCTTGTTTTGAGATACCGTTAGATGAACAACAACAAGGAATTCATCAAATTTAGCAAACAAAGAGTTTAGATTTGTGTAGAAAAATGGTAAATTTAGAAGCAAAATTTCGGCTATTACTTTTATGCGATGGTTGCAGTACCTCTGAAATTTTTAATCGTAGGATGTTCGTACATGATCTTCAGAAGTGACTCCTGCACAGCTGAAATGCAGTGATCGACGGCATGGTTGCAAACAGTTTGCTCAGGTACTTATTTTTTCGGAGAGGGGTCCCACAAAAACTTATCAGTTAATAAATAAAAGGAAAATTTGAGACAACTCACAAGGAAATGCATTTTCGCTCAAGGTGGAAATATCCGTATTCTGAGCTTCAGTCTAATATTAAATTATGTCCGGTTTGAGCGCCGGCTCTTGTTAAACATTCCACAAGTTCTTTGTGACCTTTTTCGGAGGCTACGTCAAGTGGTGTTTTTCCGTCATTATCAGCACGATTGATTTCGGCGCCGACTGTCACCAAGTACTCGACAACTTTTTCTTGGCCGTTGAAGGAAGCTATGTGAAGTGGTGTGCAACCCTCATTGTCCACACGATTGATTTCGGCGCCCAGTGTCACCAAGTATTGTGCAATTTTTTTATGACCGTTTTGTGAAGCTATGTGAAGTGGTGTCCAACCATCATTATCAGCGCGATTAATTTCGGCGCCGACTGTCGCCAAATATTCCACAACTCTTTCGTGGCCTTGTGTGGAAGCTATGTAAATTGGTGTTCGACCGTCATTAATAGGGTGATTCCTATCGGCGCCGTCTGTCACCAGATAGTCCACAACTTTTTCGTGGCCGTTGAAGGAAGCTACGTGAAGTGGTGCCCACCCGTCATTATTAGCGCGATTGATATCGGCGCCGACTGTCGTCAAGTATTCGACAACTTTTTGGTGGCCGTTGAAACAAGCTGTGTGAAGTGGTGTCCAACCGTCATTCTGAGCGCGATTAATTTCCGCGCCTACTGTCGCCAAGTACTCGACAACCTTTTGGAGACCGTTTTGTGAAGCTATGTGAAGTGGAGTCCAACTGTCATTATCAGCAAGATTGATTTCGGCGCCGACTGTCGTCAAGTACTCGACAACTTTTAGGTGACCGTTTTGTGAAGCTATGCGAAGTGGTGTCCAACCGTCATTATCAGCTCGATTGATTTGGGCACCGACAGTCACCAAGTATTCGACAATTTTTATGTGACGGTTTTGTGAAGCTATGTGAAATGGTGTCCAAGCGTCATTGTCAGTGCGATTGATTTCAGCGCCGATTGTAGCCAAGTATTCGACAACTTTTTGGTGACCGTTTGCGGAAGCTATATAAAGTGCTGTTCGACCGTCATTAATAGCGCAATTGATTTCGGCGCCGGCTGTCGCCAAATATTCGACAACTTTGTCGTGGCCGTGTGAGGAAGCTATGTAAAGTGGTGTTTGACCCTCATTATCAGGACGATTGATTCCGGTGCCGACTGCCACCAAGTATTCGACAACTTTTTCGTGACCGTTTCGTGAAGCAATGTGAAGTGGTGTTCGACCATCATTATCAGCACGATTGATTTCGGCGCCAACTGTGGCCAAGTATTCGACCACTTTCTCGTGGCCGTTTGCGGAAGCTATATGAAGTGGTGTTTGAGCGTCATTATCAGCACAATTGATTTCAGCGCCGACTGTCACCAAGTATTCGACAACTGTCTCTTGACCGTTTTGTGAAGCTATGTGAAATGGTGTCCAACCGTCATTATCAGCGCGATTGATTTCTGTGCCAACTGTTACCAAGTATTTGACAACTTTTTGATGACCGTTTGCGGAAGCTACGTAAAGCGCTGTTCGCCCGTCATTCGTAGCACGATTGACTTCGGCGCCGACTATTGCCAGGTATTCCACAACTTTCTCGTGACCGTTTTGTGATGCTATGGAAAGTGGTGTCGCACCGTCATTCTTAGCGCGATTTATTTCGGCGCCGACTCTCGTCAAGCATTCGACAACTTTTTCGTGACCATTTTGTGAAGCTATGTGAAGTGATGTCCAACCATCATTGTCAGCGCGATTAATTTCGGCGCCGACTCTCGTCAAGTCTTCGACAACTTTTTCGTGGCCGTTTGCAGTAGCTATGTGAAGTGGTGTTCGACCGTCATTATCAGCGCGATTGATTTCGGCGTCGAGTGTTGCCAAGTATTCGACAACCTTTTTGTGGCCGTTAAAGGAAGCCATGTGTAGTGGTGTTAAACCTTCCTTACTAGGCCGATTTATCTTGGCGCCGACAGTCGCCAAGTATTCGACAACCTTTTCGTTGCCGTTAAAGGAAGCCATGTGTAGTGGTGTTAAACCGTCATTACTAGGCCGATTTATCTTGGCGCCGACAATCGCCAAGTATTCAACAACCTTTAGGTTGCCCTTAAGGGCAGCCAAGTGAAGTGGTGTACAACCATCAATATTAGGGCGACTGATCTTGGCGCCGACAGTTGCCAAGTATTCGACAATATTTACGTTGCCGTTTAGGGAAGCCATGTGCAGTGGTGTCCAACCGTCATCATTGGGGCAATCGATATCGGCGCCGACTGTCGCCAAGTATTCGACAACTTTTTCGTGACCATTTCGAGAAGCGACGTAAAGTGGTGTCTCACCGAATGTATTAACACAATTGATGTCGACACCAGATCTTACAAAATAGTCAACGATTTTTAAATTGCCGTTTTGAGACGCCAGCCATAGAGGTGTTTCAGCATTTTCAGCAGTAACAATACCCACTTCGCTCAAAAAATGATTCAACTCTTCAACTGTAAGGTGTTTACACACGTTGTCGTAACCCAGTAAAGCAGAATAATATATAACATTAATTATGTCATCACGAGATTGTCTCAATTGATCTTTTTTTGTTTGAAGTAATTGTATTTGTGCTCCTAGGCTCTCACTTTTTCGGGCATAAGACAAAGGAGTCTCATCTAACAACTTATCACGTTCGCCACCATCATTCATAATTTGCAAATACGTTAACGTGTCAAAGTATATTTCGTTCTCCGCTTTTTTATTGAAATTGCTATTTTCGTGCACAATACACTTGTTCTGTACATGCGTTATTGTTACACGCGGATGTCTTTGCCCCCATGACGAAATCAAGTGTAAAACACTTCTGCCACCTTTATCTTTGCAATTCAAAATTTCGTCGTCGTACGTTTTAAGTAATTCGTAACGTTTATACAATACAGCAATGTGAGCTTTTGAGTTTTTAGCCAACAACATGTCAAAAAAGAATCGAACGTTATTATACCTTGCGTCAAACAACAAGTCCGCAATTGTCTCTTTAAAATTATTAATATTTTTTGAAAAGTACCTAGCAACTAGATATTCAGCGAGGGAACTGTGTACAAAACGTGGGACATTATTTTGAAAATCATTTACAAGTCCCAGAGAGGCATAATTTCGTAAAAGTTTTTGTACGGATTTTTCGTAATTAATATTCAATCGCTGCATAATTTCTTCCTCAAATATTACCCTAAAAGAGACATTTTCGTAATATTCTGAAGCCTTTCGCTTTTTTTCACTGACTATAACTTCCATTCGGGCATTTCCTAAATCATATCCAATTTTGTCTTTGTAAAAGTTATTAAATTTTTCCTGAATAAAATATTCGTAAAGGTCAGTCAAGACGAATGTGTTGTCCATAAGTTTCAAATATTTTTCGTTATTTTCACGGAACAGTTCGGTAAGCATGAAAATTTGAAGAGGGATACCTAGTATATCTATGTGTTCTACAATCGCAAAAGATGATTTGATTTTTTCCAGCGTTACGTCAATACTGTGAGATTCTAGACGTTTTCTGATATATTGTTCTTGTTCTTGTTCGTTAAATTGATTTATACTAAGTGACAACAAATTGAATTTATTTTCTAGAGTTGATTTTAAATGTCGTCTGCTTGTAACCCACTGACGGAACCCTTTTGTTGAAAGATGGAGGATTATATTTAAAGCGGCATCTAAATTATCACTTAAGATTTCATCGAGTGCGTCCCACACGTAAATTACATTTTTTTTTTTTATACACATTTCGAAAAACATTAGATCTAGTTTTTGGAGCCACTCATATTTTTTATTTGTAATGAATTTTACAAATAAATCTGAACAATTATCCGTTTTAGAGAAGTCGAGATTGCGAAAAAATAAATTAACATCCTTGGGACTAATTAAAACTGTCCAGTATTCGCGAGAACATGTATTTTTTAAGCTTTTCACTAATTCACTTTTACCCATTCCCGGATCTCCAATTATAAGACTGATGTTATAGTCTAACCGAGAAGACCACAAGGCATTTTCCTCGGTAGGATATTCGTCGGGCAATTTGTAAGCTTCTACATCACTAATATCACCTCTGCTGCATAGCCATTCTAAATTTCCGTCACTCAAAATTTTAAAATAATGAAACTGTTTTGTTTTTTTATGCTCGTTATAAATTTGTTGAAGTTCAAAATCATTATAATGTCTAGTACCAACGTAAACTTTGTTGGTAAAACTTGATTTATCAAAGCTAAATTTATTGTTGTCGTTGAGATTAGAATTTAACTCAATTTTTTTCCTGTTACCTACGTAATTTCTGTTAGCAAAATCCGGTTCATTAACGTTAAACTCATTATTTGTTAAATTTTCGCCATTCTGATTTCTTTTCAATAAGAAGTTATTAATGTCAATTAATTCACAGTTATAGAGTTTGCTTTTAACTTTGTCTAAATTATTCGCACAATTTAAAATAATAATTGTGTTTTCGTGAACTTTTACTAAATATGTATTATCAACAACATTTCGCGAAATGTACCGTTCTATGTATGGTTGAGGTAGTGTTTCCTTTACTCCTCCTATACGGTATGGACCGTTCAGCATTTCAGACAGATTATCAGTTGTAACATTTTGGAAAAAATCTTCGCAATTGCCAAACGATGTTACAAGATCAAGTTCGCCCTTTCCCTGAATCGAAATGGTAAAATTTTGCATTATATTTTTACGAATTTCGGGCTTCAAACTCAAGTCTGACAGATTTTGGAAGACGGAATACTTTTTCACCCATTCTGCATCTTTAGTTCCGCCAACCAAAACGAATTTTTTGTGGGGACACAGCTGTATTATATTTTTCATCTTTTCCCATTCACGTAATATTAATGGACATTCGTCCATTACCCACAGCAATTGGGTCAATACCTTAGGATCTATGTTGCCGATATCGGTGTTATCAATATGTCCGAGAGTAGGTAGATATCTCCTTCTAACTTTATTTAATTCCTTAAAGTCAACAGTTTTTTCTTTTCCGACATCACCCCACAGTTGTTTAACCGTTTCGACTGATTCCTCTTCAATCACTGTGACATCAAAGAAGGAAATCGCTTCCCGAAAAATTTTCATTTTGTCATTAACTGGACCGAAAGATAGAGACTCAGTATGAGAGGACAGAAGGTGTAGCGCAAAAACCAACTGAGTCCACTTTTTATCTATCTTTTCTTTTTTCCCATCTTGGACGTTCCATTCAGAAACTGTTCTGAGGAATTTACCGAATTGTTCGTCATCTGAACAATATGTTATCTTGAATTTATTAGCTGTTATTTTTTTCAGAGTATCACAATTTTCTTGGTCGGTATACAGAAAAAACTTGCGAAAAAAATCCTGATATTCTTGAATTCTAGGAATATTCTCTACTGTCGATTGATCATCTACTATTTCAAACTGATAGACGTGACTAATATTTTCTGAAATGTCTGAGTTGACTTCTCTTTTAATAAGCTTGACGTAAAATTCTTGGCCGTCAAGGTGGAATGTTGCGTTGTCGGGAGGATTAAACGGCCTATTTGTGAACAAAATTAACTCATCTATATTTTTCTTAATTTCTTTGTAACTTTTAAAGTATTTGCTAATACTGAAGTCTCCTTTTACGGTTCGCAAATTTTCTAGAGTGAGTACTTTCCTCTCGGTGTGTTTTAACTGCACCGCTTTAACTTGAGTATCGTTTTCTTTATCCGATGCAAGGTTAATGACCAGATCATCAAACGCCCCAAAATCATCATCGTTTGATGAAATCTGGAACGTTTTTACTCTGGGGTTGTTTAATAGTCTTAGTACAACATTGGCGAGAACCACATCTTCATAATCTCTGCCTTTATCAGTTGTCCCTGGCCTTTTTTTAAAAGTCTGGAAAGGAATAGACGAACAACCGCTTTGAAAAGGAATTATTCAATAATTGTTGTGTTTGTAATGAGCAAAAAAATTATGAACCGTAATAGTATTTTTTTTCAAATCAGGTAATGTACTTGTTAATACTGCTTATAGAAAAACTGATCGAAGGTTATTTCGACGAAACTTCCCTCACCATTAAAGTACAACCAAGCATATCCAGCTTTTTCAAAAAATTATAAGCTTTAATTTTGCGAAAGAAAAAGACTTACCGACTCCATTTCTCTCAGGCGGTCACAACATACAAAGTGACGTGTTTCTGTACAAATAAGTAATGATTTATTTGAAAACTTTCATAATTCTCACACGGAATCCTACTTGTCACACAATTTCTTCAACGTAACAATAAGGGGCGATAATTTCAAATTAATGTTACACTACAACAAAATAGATTTTCTTACGTCAGATTTACAGACTGTATGACCACAGACTTACCTACTTCACGGTTTCCAATCTCTGTGGTGTTAAACTAAATTTTTATACGTTAAATATAACACTTTACCTACGAATGTTCTACACGACAATGTTTTCTTTGAATCAGACGAGAATTGGACAAAGTTATTTTGTTGCTACGTTTTAAGGATATTTTTTACGGATGCTCGGTTATCCGTATGATAAGATTGTCGTATGGGAAAACCTGTGAGAATTTAAAATGTCACTGAATCACCACTCGGGCGTTTCCATTTCATTTCATATTTCAAAAAACGGTCGAAAATTGTTCCGACAGAACTTCCCTCGCTCCTGAAGTACAATGAAACATATCCAGCATTTTTGAGTTGAGTTTCTTCCGTACACAATTTTGTGATGACATCATCAATAACACAAATTGACAAATTCATTAATTTTTTTGAACTACCTCTTTAAAGCAACTCTATAAAATATGAATGCAGTGATGAATCACAAGCAAAAATTTATTAAGAAAGAAGGCTAAATTAGTGAAGCAAAAGGTGTCGAGTTTCGTGGTCAAGTTCCAAAGACGTTGTGTCTGAGATGCCAAACGTGACAGTAAACGTACATCAAGGCGTTAAAATTGTATTTGTAAATCAAAATAGAGAGATAATTTTTGGTCTATATGACACCGATATTTCAACTTTTGATAGAAGAGAACCCGACGAAGTGGTTATAGTGATCTCCATCTAAGAAGGAATAAACAGTGTAACGATTTGTAACCGTTATAGAAAAAGAAAACTTCATCATCGTATTAGAAAGATTTTTAGGAAATAGGTGAGAAATTACATACATATGTATAGTTATGTTTTTTTTTAATTAGAAATCATCAAGACTATTTCGGTCAAATTTGAATTAACTGCGACTAACACTTCGGTAGACAAATAAATATCTACGGCAGTAGAAACGGTTTTACTGGTAAATTGTTTTGCTCTTCCTTGATATTAACACTTTGAATATGATAATAAAATTACCTTTACCACCCTTACAAGATAAATAACAGTCATTTAATCGCCACGGAAATAAACGAATAGTGCTCATACACGACACTGTTTCCCAATTGAGGACAGACGATAAAATCACTCGCAAAAACAGCAGACACCAGCAGCAAGGGAAAAACACAGGAATTACAAAAACTCACCAACCCCTCACAAAAAGCACAAGAGCACAAGAAAAGCAGATTTATAGTTCCAACAGTTTTCGAATTAAAATCTATCGAAAACTCCACCAAAATAGCACTAAACACGAGCACCTAATGGGACGCCATTTTTCAATTCTCATCCTCCATACTTCAATACAATTTAGAAGAATTTTCTGTTTTTATTCAAAATAAAAAAACAGTGAGAATTCAGATTTATAAAGATAATGAGTACTGAAATTGTTGACGCTTTTGGAGATTTCTTCAGTAGTGTCTTTATTGCTTCTAAACCAATGCAGTCTTCCTAGTTTTTTTCTAATTCTAGTGCTAATATTTCTATTTCACCGCGTAAAATTAATATTGAAGATGTTCTATTTATTATCCAACATGCAAACAATTTAGTAGGATAGATGCACTATAATTATAACATGTCTACTAGAAGTAACTATTACAAGAAAAGTAGTAGGTGGTTTAGAATTAAAAAGTTGTATACGTGATGAGTTCAAAAAAACTATCTGAGGATGGAGAAATAAAGAAATTGATGATATTCATAACTTTATATCTTACTGGTTTCTTATCGGTTTATAATAATAAGCGATACTGCGACAAACATGTGCGTGTGGTGAGTGCTCCGTGATTAAGATTGGTGTTAGTGAATATTTGAACAATTAGTTTTCAATTTTGGTACCGTTCTACTAGTTAAGATAGGTAGAATTTATTTTACTCAGTTGAGAGACAACGGCGGTTACAAAACATGGAGCTGTGGATTTTGTAGTGCTTCATCAACAATAATAAATACCTAGTCATCTTTATTATTAAATCAGAAAAATCGTGCTGAGCTATCAACTTGATTTTAATGTGATAAAGTTCCCACCAACGTAGCTGCATTGTTTCAGGAATTTACAAGAGTTGTTTCTGGCCATTTTGAGCATTTAAATAAACAAATAGCTTTTCTTCAACAAAATCGTTAGACTATAACTTTAAAAAGGTGAAGTTTCATCAATTATACCAAGAACTTGTTTGTGTAAACTGGTCTTTTCTTGATGACACGGCTGAAGTGGATATTGTTGTAGAAAATTTTTACAGCAAAATTTATAATATACTTGATAAGCATGTTCCAAGAAAATTAAATTCGTTAGGTTCGTTTTCACCTTAGTTTAATGGAAATATTATTCAATTAATGAAAAGGCCTGGAATAAATATAAAAAACATGGAAGACAAAATTTTTACAATGAATTCAAAAATCCAATTAAAACGTGACAAGACTATATTTGTAAACTAAATATGGATATTAGTTGTAATCCAAAATGTTTCTGGTCTTAATAAGAAGGACATTTCAGATTCCCAAGAAATTGTCCAAACTTTTGCTAAGCACTTCTCCTCTTCATTTTCAGCTTCAACAAAAGCCTCCTCTAGTAGTCAGGTTTCTTATGAGAGTTCTTTATTAGTAAAAGCTATACCCGAAGATGAGATTTTTAAGGTCTAAGCTTAAACCTGGTTTAACAACGGGTCCTGATCTTATACCATCATTCTTAGTTTCTGATTGTAAAAACATTTGGTTACAACCGTTAATATTAATTTTTAACAAAATTATTAGTTCCAGTCGGTTTCCCACTCAATGGAAGATTGCCGGTGTTTAAAAACGGACATAGATCTGATATTGCTAACTACAGGCCGATAGCTCTTATTTCAAATTTTTCAAAGGTATTTGAGATAGTGTTACACAACAGAATTTACAACCATATTTCAACAAGGATAACAATTGGCAACATGGTTTTATAGCTAAGAGGTCGACGGTGACCAATTTACTTACGCTTACACAATTCTAATGTGAGAGTTTTGACCAGAAAAATCAGGTGGACGTAGTCTATATGGATCTTTCTATGGCCTTCGATCGGGTAGACCATTTAAAACTTGTTGATAAGCTGGATAATTTTGGAATTTCTAATAACTTGCTTATTCTTTTTTTCTTATCTTACAGACAGCTCTCAGTATGTACAATACAGGGGATTTAAATCAACATTATTTAAACAATTATCAGGAGTTCCACAGGGCTAAGTCCTTGGTCCGTTGTTGTTTGTAGTATATATAAACGATATCTCAGAATTATTAAATGAATACCAATGTCATAATTAATTATATAATAATAATAATTTATTACCAACAGGTTATAGAGCACCCAATTACAGGGAATAATAAAAAATCGATACATTAATAAAAAATTCAATAAGGTAATAAAAAAGAAACCAATACCATTCTCGATGATCAAACGAATTAATTAATCCCATATTTAGTTAACATCCAACTTTTTAAACTGCCAAAGGAGTCAATGCTTATATCACAACAGTTTGTCACTACGTTGAACAGATCACACATCAAAAGTATTGGAGATTTGCGCAAGATGTTAGTTCTACTTCCTGAACAATAAAACAAAAAATGTTGTCGAGAGCAAAGTTTTGGGATATTAAAATTTTTTAAATTAAGTAGCATGGGGCAATCAACTTTATTGTTCAGCAAATTGAACAAGATTTTCATAACGGAAATAATTCTTATTGTCTTCAGTGAGATAAAATTAAACCTATTTAATAATTCGAGGTGGTCATATCTTCTTGGTGGGCACACCCCATCTAAGACGCAACACAGAAACTTCAAAAATTTTCGTTGGACCGATTCTAAGTTAGAGATGTGTACATCGTATGTAGGGAACCATATAATGGCACCATATTCAAGACGCGATCTTATTAAATAATTGTAAAAGCGAATTTGAAAACCCAAAACGTCTAAGTTTATCTAACAATATAAAATCTATTCTATCGAAAGCTTTCCTGAAATCCGTATAAATTGTGTCAACTTGGCTTTTTCTGTCTATTGACTCTGAAGTATATTGAATGAAGCATGCCAAATTAGTTATCGTAGACTTTTTTGGAACAAAGCCGTAAATTTGTTAGAACGCTAAAATGCCAAAGTGTGAATATTGGTAATTTTTGATTTATTTTGTTACCTTGGTTATTTCGCATCTTTGTGTTGAATTTCGTAATAGGGCCTATGTTCCTAGAACCGTAGACTATATAAATAAACTGAATTATGCTTTTCCAACCAGTAAATTTTGGTTTGGGGACTTTTCAGTTTACTCCTGTTTACTTTTCAATTTTTGAATTTTACAATTTCTCAATTTTTCAGTTTCTGGGTTTTCAGTTTTTCCCTTCAATTTTACGATTTTTAAATATTTCGATTTTTCAATTTTTGACTTTTATAAACTCTTTATTTGTCGATTTTTCACTTAATTGATTTTTCAGGTTTTTTGGTTTTTTAATTTTTCTATTTTTTCAACTTTAGTTTTTTGATTTAATAATAATAGTTTATTAACGGAAAAGAAACTCCTATTACATAAAACAAGAAAGCAATTCATTAAGTAACTTATAACTAAAAATTTAGGATGTACATGAAATAAAACTAAAACTAAAACTAAATATAACATTCTTTGATGCAGATATTAGCACACCACAAAACCTAATGTCGCTATAATAATGATAATCTATATTCACGGGCAAGTAAGTATCCCATTTACAATAATAATGATACAGATTACATTTACAGTAACTTTAAGAACACAGTAAATGATGGACACGATTTTTAAAAACAGCATAAGATTGACAATTAAAAAAATCCAATGAATCAGAGAACTCATTGCAAGTACGGAGTGCTGTGTTCAATGGAGAATTTAAAGTATAGTTTCTCCTACAGCTTTCTATACTAAACAATGGACTTCTCCTCACAGCAAACTGCGGAACATAAAAAAATAGGGAATGCAGAATTTCGTTACAGTCCAAAAGATTGTTCATGACTCTAAAAACAAAGCAAAGTTGAAAGTATTTTCGTCTAGTACATAATGTTGTCATTCCAAGATAGCTCAAACTTAAATTGTAATTGAAGTCTATTT